CACCCTCTGCTTCGACAGAGTAATATATATTAATAGGAACCACGGGAAATAGCAGTTACCCACTGAATATAAAAACTTTGGCTGGAATACAAATAGGTGAAGTCCGAGGGTCTAGTGAATTGCGCATACCTACGTGAAAGCGACAGGCACAGGAGCCCGAACTGTGCGATTTTGATTTCCAAAAAATGTGCACAGTGAGGTTGGATGTGCACCATTCTTTTTTGCAGTCCTTCAAAATTTGGTTCAGATCAGTTCGAAAGCTAGAGCCGAGAGGAATGCGGGTATGCGATCGAAACGGCGGAGCTGATTAGTGTCTTGCAGAATTTCATTTTAAAATATACATGAAAATGAAAAGGAGGAATGAGCTGGGAATCTATAAGTGCTCACCCGATGTGAAAGTGGCGGCAATGAGGGTGTTCCCTGAGTGATACTCAAATTCGTGAAAACTTGTTGCTGAGGTAAAACTGAGCGACGTGCTTCTTGAAACTGCTGCGGATGAATCGGCCCTTGGGGCTGCCTCCAGAATATGGTGTTTCGGAGACGCAACGTCGAAACGGTGCCGCTTCGTAGATGTGTGTTCCTGGGCTCGGACGCTGGGAACTGCTGTTGCTGGCTTAATGCCCCTGTAAATGAAAGTGATTATTTGAAAGCAATCTCATTATGCGTTATGCTTTTTTACATATTTATGAAAATGCAGAAAAGACTCATGCTGTATGTGTATGTGCGTGTTTGTATGTGTGTTTATGTGTGTATTTGTGTGTATGCGTATGCGTCTGCTGGGTAATTTCAACTCGGCAATCTGGCATTAAATATGCAGAAATTCATAAAATGCAGTGCATTAAATATGCAGAAATTCATAAAATCATTGACGGTGCGCACCAGACGGGCCTGGGCGATCATGTGTTTTGCAGTATTTCATGCTGTAGTAAGATCTCTTGGAGTCCCGGAAGCAAGAATTTTTGACATACTGCTCCTCGAAGTTCAGAAAGTTAATTGTGCAACTACGTGGTACTTGAACAGGAAACATTCCATTAAAATTCCAGATTTCCATTTTTCCTTGTTCCGAGTTAGCAATTTTTCTGCCAAAAAGTTTACAAACTCACACATAAAAAACACTCATATCTGGGGCTGAATTTGAAATCTTTAAGTTGTACTCGGCTGGGAACATCCCTTTAAAATTCCAATCTTCCGACTTTTCTGGTTGCCGAGTCAGCGATTTCCCCGCTAAAACTCACATTGTCGTACTCGTGGCCCAAACATGCATGAAGAGTGCTACCGTCGTTCTGGAGTGGCATTTGGACATGGAATCCACTGGCAAACTCTTGCGCCCGAGCCTGCTTGGTTGCTGAGTTGAAGCATCCGGGTCAGACAGGCAGACAGACACACATACACACATCATGAATCGTCACAATATGCGTTTTTGCGTTTGCATACATGCAAAAACGCTTATTATGACGGCCCATGATGTGTGTGTGCGAGTGTGTGCATAGTGTCTGTCGTCTGCCTGTCTGTCTGCCTGGGTACTTCAACTTGGCAACCAAGCAGGTTTAGGCGCTAAAACTTTGCTAGTGGGTTCTACGGCCAAGTGCCACCCCAAGACTGCAGCACCAACCTTCACGAACGTCTTAGCCCCACATACGAGCACGTGGAAGTTCCTTGATCTTTGATACGGCGTTTCGGCCACTGATGCGTTGTTGATCTTCTCCAATGACAATGACTAGGCTGACAAGTTATGGTGGGAAAATTGTTAAATCGGGGAACAGAAAAGCTAGAAAGAGATATCTCCGACCACTTACAACTTAAAAATTTCAAATTCAGCTCCTAGGTGTGCGTGAGATTTCTCTCACGGTGGCAAAATTTTGGTGGGAAAATTACTCACTGAAAAGGTTGTTGATTTTCAAACAACCGTCTGGCGGAAATTGTTCACATTCCTTTATGCAAATTTACGATGATTTACGCTAGTGAGCGCATCGGATAAGCGCAGTGCAAGAATCATTCATATATTAAAGACCTGACTGCTTCAAGTTTAGTGCAAAAACGCATGGTCGCAGCGGCAACCTGGTGTGTCCCAGCGTAGAACTGCACTTGCATACATGCAAAAACGCATAAAATTTCGTTGGCTTTGCTGCTTGACTTGTGATGAAATTCCAACATTAGGCTATGCTCCTAGCTCCAGGCCACTCCAATGACTTCTAGATTCACCTACGAGCTTTGACTCACCTGAGAGACCTTAGATCATTCAAACAGCGCGGAAGTGGACGACGAAGTGCAAACATCCTTGAAATCAGTAGAATATAACGACACACTGCGATGAGGCGCGGAACTAAGCTACCGCACGGGAGTCTGAAGGGATTAAATTAGATTATGGGGAAGAGAATGCGTGCCGGGATTTACCTGTGAGGAAGATGGCGAACAGAGGAAGCATCGGGGCATCCGTGTGCTGCGTCCCGTTTTCAGCTCGGTCTGAGAAAGTATCTGCCTAGAAGGGAACGGCGCTGCTTCCACTCGCACTGCGATTTTGAAACTGAGCAGTTTTTGGTATAATTCGCTCGAAAGTTGTTCGTTTGCGGGTGGCGGCTGCCGCGAACAGAAGCAACAAACGTCCCCCTCCGCCCGCTTCATATCTATCACTATCGTTCCCCCTTCTTGATGATGCCGATTTGCATGCCCGTCACTAAGCGCATAAAACGTGTTCTCGTGTTCG